AACATTGACAATTTTAGTTTTCCCAAAGATGCCGTACACGCGAAGACTTGGTGTAAGATATTATATATCTATAAGGCTTGTTGTATATATCTGTAAGTCTAGAAAACAAACATTTACAAATTCTGTTAAATATTGCTTTTAAAAGATATTAAATTTGTCCATCCTCTTCGCGTGTATGGCAGATCTAATTGCGCAGGTAACCCGACGGCAGCAACGAGGATAAGCTTTGCGACGGGTATGCAACAGTATTAAAAAACATGGAAGAGAAAAGAACACTGTGATTCTTTCGGATTCACCAGTCGCTGCTTCTCGGCTGGTGATGCCAAAGAATCACGTCTTTTCTTGGATCACAACACGAAAGAATCGCGGTGCTTTGGGCTCGGATCTGTTACAATTGCTCTATGACAGAGCGGAGTCGCGGAGAAATCTTAATCCGCACAAATGGGTGCGATTATCATTAATCAAAGGCCCCTTCGAGCGTTATCACAAGTAGAGAGGAGAGCGGCGCGTCGAGCTGAAGTCAGCTCTCTCGCTCGCGGCAATCGAGTCCTTCCTTATTTAGAGCGCGACATATGCGGAATGTCATTATTGCAAATTGGCAAGTCGATGCTCTTCTCCGGGCTGTGAGAAGTGATTATTATCTTGCATATATGAAACAATCTTCGCGTATTGGCGACTGAACTACTGCGGTCTTCCACCGTCGAGTTTTGATTCAATCATCAATCCTTTCGTGCTGAAGTAGCGGTCGCAGATAATCTCGAATAGTTCTCTAAATGACGGCCTACGGGAAAAGCGGACAACTTCTCCGGATAGTTACGCAGATAGCACCGTACGCGCGACCACGACTAATCTACCGCGAAATAATCTTTTAGCCAACCGACCGATTCGATCATCAATTCCGGTCACAAATTAAAGAACCGCGATCTCGAATGGTTCTGCAAGCGACGTTGCAGGTACTTCTTAGGAATCAGCAATTCGCAATCGAATATCACGATGCGCGTGCACGCGCGAATCTTGACCACCGATTTTGATAGTCGCAGTTTTCATTTTCACGAAAGTCTCTGAGGTTTTTTCTCGTGTTTCGGAGATACTGGCGTTCGCTGGAACGTCGTTCTAGGTGCGATGAGAGGACCGAGACCTTTTTGAGTACTTCTTCCTCTCGGTGACGATACGTCAAACGGCCCCGTACTCCTCGCTCGACGGCGACTCGTCACTGGCTGATGGCCTGGGTGGCCTGGGAGGTCGTGGCGGCCGGTGATGCAGCGTGGGTGCCGGTCTTCTCGGTGGCGGAGGCGGATGCACTCCATAAGACATATCATCTCCCTCTTCGCTGCTGGGCGACGGCGAAGGCGCTCGATCCTCCTGTTCCTGCAGCAGCTGTCGAAACTCCTGGATCGACTCGTTCAAGGACCACAATTGCGACAATAACGAGAGATCGAGCTGCCGTAGACCAAACTGCAAATGCGAAAATAATTATTGTAATGCACTGAAAATTGAGAATGAAAAAAAGATTGTATTGTAGTGAGTTTGCGAGAGACACGTAAAATATTTGTACACGTAATTATCGCTTTGAGGCCTATTGTTCTATGACATTGGAAACTAAGTTAACTGGAATTTTACAGCAATCTCGATTTCCAATTAGAAATAAATATATAAAATACTTAGGTATAATGTTACTGCTTACATAAATTTTATTCTATAAAAGATTGACTTTTAGATATTTATTAAAGAGATTCTACGATCATCATTTTCCGTAACCCCGTGACTTTTCATCATTATCGCCACCGTGGATTGCTGCGAAATTTCACATAGGATTCGATATATAGAAGCTGGAGGAATGCATTCACTTTTACCATACGGTCTCCAAGGTAAATGTTACCTCGTGATTTACGGACTGAAACGACGCATTTCCAAGCAGCTTGGCGGCTGCTTGGTCGTGGGAACTGAGGAAGAGGGAGTTGTATAGGAGAGACGTGGAAAAGGAGAACGGGAAGAATATGAGAGACGCGAGCGGACAACGCGACGAAGGAGAAACGAAGCTAGGAGAGGGACGATGACGAAGAGCAGAAGAGAGAACGAAGGTGAAAAGGAGCGGGCGAGGGAAAAGGGGTACAGAGGAGTAGAATCATGCCTGAGGGAATGTAGCGTGGGAGCGGCTGTGCGAACTCGCTTCCCGTGTCTGGATTGACTATTAAATTATTAGCCCAGCTTAGATGCGCGAGTCGAGATGTTGACGCGAACGGGGATCCAACAAGAGTTCATCACGAGAGCTCTTCTCCTCGGAGAGATCCTACTCGAGATCCCGTTACAGTTAATTTCGGGAAGATTGCCGCAATGCCACGCGAACGTGGTCGGCATGATACGACAATATTTTTATACGAAACGAATATATAGCGATCGCTGAATCAACAAGACGTTCAAATTTCTAACGGAAAGAACGGTTTTGCTGAAATATTCCAAAAATTCAGCTAAATACAAGTCTGAATAAATTTTGTTTGACTATTGAAATAATTATATAAGATACTATGGCTCATCATGTTTGAAATTATCACATCATTATTTTGATAGTCTGAAAAAATTATTTTTAGATCTATTACACATAAATTTTTAGATAATTCAGCAAAATACTTTCCATGTAATTGCAAAGCGACGACAAAATTGAGTTGCTAATGGGATGTACACAAAAAGATGTCGCAGTAATTTTATTTGAAATAAACAGTCTTTTAGAATTTTAATCATTAGTCGTCGACGCGATGATGGGATTGTTGAGCTGCTAATGAGATGTACGCCAAGAGATATTGTAGTAATTTTATTTGAAATAAACACAAAGCCTCTTAGAATTTCAATTGTTAATCGGCGTAGATGAATACGGTGTGTAACTAGCAGTAGGTATGTGAAGTATGTTTGCGCAGCAAACTTGCAAGGTAATATAGCTATTAAAAAGCGGAGCCTCCGCACGGTTCAGTGATACAAGCGCGCCCTGTCTTTCTCTACCGCGGTATGATATACTCTGGTTTCCCTCGCTGCTTATGATCCCACGCATTAAATACACGCTCATCGTGCGCCGCAATTTACTCACACGCGATCGCGGCCTCGAGGTAACGGGTCATCCGGGTCGCCCAAACAAACGCGGAAGGATCGGGAGAAACAGACAGGAGAGCAACAGAGGTGGACAACGACGACCGAGTGGAAAATGAAGGTTCGCGGAACGTGATCGGACTGACGCGACGGAATATCGAGGATAAGGAGTGGCAAGGATTGAAGTTCAAAAGATAAGGAATACTTCCAAGTAGAAATCAAAGACGACAGGAAAGGAAACTATTCGAAAGAAATTTGTAAACAAAAATAACAAAGATAATATAACAAGAATTAGAAAACCAGTAAAAAATATTATCTAAAATAAGAAATAAAAATTATGAAATATAACAAAGAGAAAAATTATCTAAGTATCAAAGTGAAACTGAATTAAGGATTTCGATACAAACTAGATCATAGACACAAAGCCAACATGGATGCCCTGGTAGAAATTTCATTCATTTTTTGAGCAGTTACTAAACAGTTACACCAACTTCTGTCTAGTAACTGAGAAGGAAAAGTGCTTAGGATCCCAATCAGGATGTAACGCTTTGTTTGCAGTTACTGCATACAAAAGTTGCGTAAAATCTGAATCCATTTACTGCATAGAAACACAACAAATAATGGATATTAAATTGATTAATGAGTAAGCCAACTGCTCGTGAAATGGACAGAATAAAACTCTATCAAGTTCTTGTCCATTTCCTACTCAGTATTGGCACAATTAATGAGAATACAGTAATATTAGAAAGTAACTGAATAGGAAAACTGCATACATTTCTACTAGAGTGGAATAAAAGTTTAAAAAATATTTTAAACACGCAAACACTTTGTGTCATGTTTAAAAAATTTAAATGGTACACAAATGTGTGGTTTACAGAAATGAGAGTCGCGCGAATAATTTGCACAGCTTCCGTCGCGATCGATGACAGCGGAAGAATCTCGATGGCCACTCTGAAATCGCACGTGCTTGTTGCACGCGTAGGCGTGGAATTTTCCTGCACATGCTCGTAAATACGTTTCGCGCCGTGATAGATGACTAATGGTTTCTATTAGAGTTAATGGCTGCCGTTATGGGATGTACAATTTCAGGCACCAATTTGAATCGCATCGACAATTTGCTGACCGCATGTCGAGTGGTACTCTTGCTACACGTGCCGTAAAATCCAATCCAATAGTCAAATAATTTTCTAATCGTAAGAGATTTTGATTATTTATTTCTAATCATTATATATATCAGTTGCTTCAGACTAAAAATCGCATCCGCAAAACTCTTAAAACGTTTTATTTCTCCATCCAGATTGCACATTAAGAGTATTTTATTCGTGTCAAAATAAATTAATCATTGTCCGTATTTCTGCATTTCGTTTGCCTAAAGGTTCTTAAAAAAATAAAATAATTTTATCTTACTCTCTAAATCATTAAATGATTGAGTATCATTACTTTAAAGACTATAATTTTCTTGGGGAATGAAATTGTAACATAAAGATTCGATCTTTCTCTCTCTCTCTTTCTCTTTTTCTGCATATATATCTCCTATCTTATCGTATATAAATAATTAACGTCGTTATATAACTAGACGTTGAAAATCAGAAAAAAAATCAAAATCCTGATAGTCTGCAAACCGGTTCTATATTGCGCAGCAACTATCATTTTCACGAGACATCGAGAAACATCGAGAGATACGTTTTACGACCAAAATAACGAGAACGCGATGTTAACGAAGAAGTAAAAGAGTGAAAACAATTTTCGGATGAATACCATTTCTCTCCTGAGCACTGCCAGTTGGGTATCCAAGGTAGTAAGTTGTCTGGCAGGTGGAGACGGCCTCGATGACGATGTTTGCAGCGACGTTTTGCTGCCTCTTTGGGATTTACTGGACGACCTCGTGGGCGGTGGAGGCGGGGGG